GGGCTCTTCAAACTTGATGGCTTTAAGACTTGTGGACTTCAACTCCCGGAATTCCTCCTCCAGTCATGTTAGCTCAGGAATCCTGGGAGTTGAAGTCCTCACGTCTTAAACTTGCCAAGTTTGAAGACCCTTGGATTAGATAGATAGATAGATAGAGATAGAGATAGGGATGGATGGAGATGGAGATAGATGATAGATACTGTAGAGTAGGGGTCTTCAAACTTGACAGCTTCAAGACTTTGTGGACTTCAACTCCCGGAATTCCTCCTCCAGTCAGGTTAGCTCAGGAATCCTGGGAGTTGAAGTCCACAAGTCTTAAACTTGCCACATTTGAAGACCCTTGGCCTACACTGCTTCAGACAAATGGTTGTCCAACATCTTCTTAAAAACTTCCAGTGTTGGAGCACTGACAACTTCTGGTGGCAAGTTGTTCCATGGATTAATTGTTCTCATTGTTAGGAAATTTCTCCTTGGTTCTAGGTTGCTTCTCTCCTTGCTTAGTTTCCATCCGTTGCTTCTTGTCTTGCCTTCCAGCGCTTTGGAGAATAGCTTGACTCCCTCTTCTTTGTGGGGGCAGCCCCTCAGATACTGGAGCACTAAAATCTTTGGAATCCTACCAATTCACCTTTGACAAGATCCCGAGAGAATACCTTCTGGGTCTTTTCCAGGAGAAATATCTTAAAAGGCCAACAAATTTATTATGACTCTTTACAGTAATTTTCCCGTTGGTTTACAGAATAACAAAGGGACCTTGGAGGTCTTCTAGTCCAACCCTCTCTGTTCAAGTAGAAGACCCTGTAATGGTTCAAACAAATAGCTCTCCAATCTCTTCTCAAGAACCTCCAGTGATGGAACACTCACAATTTCTGGAGATAAATTGTTCCAATGATTAATTGTTCTCGCTGTTAGGAAATTGCTCCTTAATTCCAGGTTGCTTTCTCTCTTTGATAAGTTTCCATCCATTGCTTGTTGTCCTGCCTTCAGGTCCTTTGGAGAATAGCTTGACTGCCTCTTCTTGGAGACAAACCCCTGTTGTAAGCAAGGGAACTGCTAACGGAGCACAGCTTCTGGTGGCCCTATCTCCCTCCCTGTCATGCCCCTGTTGGAATCTGATTCCGAGGGAGAGGTGGAACAGCTGACAGGGAGTGGGAATGTGGCTCCAGTGGTTGTGGAGGAAACTGGGGAAGGGCATACGCCAGCTAGGCATTCAGAGGAAGACCCAGGCCCACCCCCTCTTCATCCTAGGGCACGTAGGGAGGAACGGATAAGGGAGCAACATGGTTTACGGGAGGAGGAAAGGGCCCTGATGCCCTCCATGGGCTGCAGCTGGGAAGACTGTTTAAAAGGGCAAACTCTGCATGGCAAAGTTGCCGGAAGCAAAGTGTGCATTCTCTTTGTCGAGGCTTATCTGGGTTTTGGCGTCCGCCCAACTGTGGGTGCCGCCTTATGTTTTTGGAAGTCTGCAATTTATCATCCTGGCCTGTCATGTTAATTACTTCATCGTGGTTTGTGTTGTTGTTGTTTTTTAATTTCTAATTCCTTTGGGTTCGGACTGCATTTCTTCCCTTCGTAGACTGTTTTTGGAAGAGTTTGATCTCCAGCCAAGGATAACTGGACATTGGGGGCCAAGTTGGAGGCATTAAAGGGAATTTATCTACTTTGGTGACTTTGTTAGTCATCACAGTCCCCTTACTTCCCCTCACTGGCTGTGGGAAAGATGTCCCTGTGGATCCTGACTCCTGAAGCCAGAACACTTTGCTTCCCTTGTAGGTCCTCATCAAACCCAAGCCAGTGACCTTCCAGGCCACGGTGGTCAGCGAGCAGGCGAGGCAGCTGGTGACGGAGACCCTTCAACAGGCCTCTCGCGTGGTAGAGACCAGCAACGCGTTTCTGCCAGAGGTGAAGGAAGAACCTCTGGTCTATACCGACAGCAGTTCCTCTTCGGTGGAGTCCATCCAAAGTTCCCAAGGTGAACGGCGTAGAGATTTGACTCAGGGGAAATCTACTGGGGTTGATGTTTGCTGGAGAAGGCCTTTTAGGTTCCCCTTGGAGTGTTTTTGTCAGTCTTTCCTGGGACAGAAAGCCCTAGCCCAGGCCATGTTGTGGTCCATCAGCCACTGGTGTTCTGACCAAGGCTTCCTGAGACACCAACAAACACACATAAAATCCCAAACTCTTTTATTTTAGTTCAGTGGCTGTGAATAATTGTCATTGACAGCCCAGAATGAGTCTTAACCGGTTTATAATTAGTCCCAGGGACATCTGCCAAAGTTCTTGGAGAGAACTCTGGTAAGAATGCATCTTATCTGACGTGAAGTGCTGCTAATGACTAAAGTCCCAATTAAGTCTTTTAAAACCAAAACGGAGAACAAATTAAACACGGAGCTTTCAGAGTCCAAACTGATCAGAGCGAACGACGTTGCTTCCTGCAAAGGTTTTCCTACCTTTGCCTGTCTTTGAGACCTTAGGGGAGGGGCAATCACTTCCAAGCCTTCCTCCCGAATCGCCCCTTTTGTCTTAGCTGCTCTTGCCTTCTGGCAGCTCTGCACATACGCGCACTGGGAACATTTCTCTGCCTCACTGCTGCCAGATACTGGAGGCCCCGAAGTCAGCACATAACTCCCAGATGGTCTTGGCTCCATCTCTGAATCAGAGGTAGGACCCTCGTCCGAGTCCTCCCCAGACTCCTGGACTGGTCCCTGCTCTTCCCCACTGTCCGACTCTACTGCCGTCTCCACGGGCGAATCACCATGGGGAAAAACTCTCCTTGTGTCTAGTTCTTCTGGTGTGCAGTGCTCTACAGCGTCGTTTTGAGGGTAGGAGTTGAAACAGTTTATGTCCGGGATGTGAGGGGTCTGTAGATATTTTCACAGCCCTCTTTTTGACTTGTGCAGTATGCAGGTCCTCCATGGAAGGCAGGTTGGTAGCCATTGTTTTTTTTCTGCAGTCCTAATTACTCTCTTGAAGTCTTTGTCTGTCTTCTTTGTCTCAGATTCCCAGCCCGTGGTCCATGTCATTGCTTCCCGGAGCCAGGATTGGTCGGAACACGAAATCTCTGTGGATTCCAGTCCCACCATCATCTATCAAGATGTCTCCGGCGAAGCGCAGTCTGCGACGTCGACCATTAAAGCCTTACTGGAGCTCCAGCAGACGACAGGTGACTCTCCGAAAACCTCAACTTTTCCCCGAGTTGCCATGTGGAAACTCTTTGGAATTTTGTCTTTCCTCTGTTACTAGCTCGATCCCCGTGCTTCGCTACAGAATGATGTGGTCGGCCTTGGGAGATGGTGGAGGCCGGCAGCAGTGAGGAAGAGGTTCCCAAGGAACCTGTGCCCAGGGCACGTGCGCGCAGGGCTGCTCGAAGGAAAGAGCAGCTGCAGCAGCACGGGCGACTCGGGAGTAAGGCTGCAAGGTGATGGCTCCTCCCTTAAGGGACAAAAGCCAGCCCTCAGAGGTGGGGTTCTTTGCAGGAAGCAAGGACGTTCTTGCACTTCAAGCCTTGTGGAAGTTCGGACTATCCCGGTTCATGCTTGGAGACTTTTGGCTTTGATTATTCCTTTGCAATTTAATCTAGTGTTCTTGGCAGCCTTGCACAACCCTTGGCAAGGCTTGTTCTTATCTGGGACAATTAGTTTTTAATAGCGTTTTACTGTGAACGAACGGAATTCACAGAGAAGCATTAAAAAGGTTTTGCTTTTATCTCTGTTTGGTGTTTGTTTGCTTTGAACAAGGCTTGGGTCGGAAAAGCGTGTTGGGCCTGGTCTCTGGGTGTTAGGTGGATTTCACTGTATGTATACTGTGTATATACGTCCAATAAGAATAAAGAATTAAAATTAAAATTGAAAATGAAAAAAACGCCCTCTCCAGGCTGCGGAGGCCCTTCTGGAGCCGCCGAGAGACCTGTTTTTTGCCCTCCAAAAGCCCCCGCGTGAGGGCCTGCACTTACCTGGGCCGCGTGGAGACTCCTGGGAGGGGCGGAGCCAGCTGGTCGTTGCAACTACCGGTGTGCTGAACCGCATGTAAAATTAACACCCGGTTCACCCAAACCGGTGTGAACCGGTAGCAGGCCCCACCCCCCTGGGACAACCCCTGTAGACCGTCAACCCCCTCCCAGGCCTGTTACTTCACCACCACCACCCTTCGTTTTTGCTGCAACAGTCAAAGAGAAGTTGGAAGCCAAGCCTCGGCAGGCCACCATCGACCTCAGCCAAATGGCCGTCCCGATCCAGATGACCCAGGAGAAGCAGCATTCTCCCGAAAGTCCGTCAATTGCCGTGGTTGAATCCGAGCTTGTGGCAGAATACATCACCACCGGTGAGTCCCTGTGGGAGATGGGCGGGCGAGAAGACACACACACACCCCAGCAGGCGGTTTTCAAGTGGTCTCTCTGCATGCAAGGAGACAAGAAGGAGATCCGCTCACCTGGATCTACCGTGCTTCCCTAAAAATAAGACCCTGTCTTTTATGTGTATATATATTCACCAAAAAAAAGGAACCAGGTCTTATTTTCGGGGGGATGTCATCCACTGACTAACCTCACTTGCGCTGGTCACCCCCGGCCTCCT